ATGTTTTTCTCATGACTAATCTGGGGTTATGGGATTTTGGGAGGAAGATCATGGAGGTTAAGTGCCTTTACATCTTATCAAGGGTACAGACCCTCAACATGAGTTATCATTGTTGATGTTGTCTTTGATCACCTGGCTGAGGTAATGTTTGTCAGGTTTCTCCACTAAAAAGTTAATCTTTTTTCCTCCTTTTCCATACTCTTTGGAAGAAAGTAACGGCACAGCCCACACTTCAAGAGTGTAGAGTTATGTTTCACCTTCTTGAAGGCAAAGTATCTACGTAATAATTTGGAATTCTTCTGCATAGGATGTTTGTCTGTTCTCCCCCATTTATTTATTTATTCAGTCATGTACTTATATCAGTGTGGACTCAGCGTTTATTTTGTATTTTGTATTATAATCCATTACTACTTTATTTTGTTCTTCAACCTAAACCAGTTTTGGCCCCAGGGAGCTCTTTCAATTGACTTCTGTATGCCTTTGCTATACCTCCTAATATCATGGGGGTTTTTTTGAGCACTTCCTTACTTATCGGCACTACAAGATTCTCCAGGCTCACTTTGTATATTTCCTGCCCCAATCCTGGAATTGGCTATCTCTCCAAGGAACCTAGTTCCTTTTGTTGAAGACTGGTATTAGACACCAAGATCTGGGCATTATGTGTGCTTGCTATGGGACAGGGGGTGGGGTGGGGTTGTTGCTTGTAGACCCGCTCAGCTGACAGCAAGGCCATACATGTGTCTACGGAGCTAACTTGTTCTGTGTGTACCATCTATATTAAGCTAAACTTGTGTTCGTTGATTCAGATGTCTCCAGCTCTAATCCATTACCATGTGGATTGTTCTAGCCTTCTCCCCTTGGTTACCTGTAATTTCTCACTTCAACAGTAAGAAAACTGGCTGTTTACTTAATGGTTCAATTCCAGTATATATATATATGCAGTGGCTTCTGCATTAACACATGGGAAACAACTTTAACAACTAGAGAATAATGCTTATGTGCAGTTCCTTTTGCCTTTAGTTGTACAGAAACCACTCATTTCCAAAGTTACTTAAGTCAGCACCTTTCCTCCATCACCTTCAGTGAGATTGTTTCATGTATTTGTGATACAGTTAGATTCTTTGCCACAGTCTGTCTGTGTTCCATCCTGGGATCCTCTGACTTTCTAAATGATTTTTTAAATTTATATACTTTAAGGTTTACTCTGCTGTAAAGTTCTGTGGATTTTAACAAAGGCGTGATGTCATATATCTATTTGTCTCAGTTTTTGCATTTATTGTCCTTCTGTCTGGAATACACTTTCAGTATATTTTGCCATGGCTGGACTTTTACCTTTCATAAGATAGATCTCTGCTGAAATATTATCACCTTCCTTGAGCCCCAGTCCAAAGGAATCTCCTAGACTAAAATTTTGTTCATTTATTTGCTCTGTGTGTGGTTTGTTTTGGTCAGTCTCCCTCCAATAGGATGCAAACTTAATGAGAGCAAACTTAATGGAAAAAGTGAATATCTGGATCAGTGAATATTTGTGGGTTCTTGGGGGCTTTTTGTTTGTATTGTGGGTTTTTAAAATTTTTTATTTTTATTAAATTTATTGGGGTGACATTCGTTAATAAAATTATATAGGTCAGTAAATATTTGTTGCTTGATTCTTAGGTGTGTCCAGCATTGCTTATTCCTAGAGCATGTTTTTAACACTCAACAGTAGTGATTGAAAGCAGGCTTGTTCAGTTGGGCTTCCAGCTTACCCTGATTGACTACTTACAGAAGGGTTTTGCTTGCAAATTAGTTTAAGTGTTTCAGTATATTGAAGATGTGCAATTATGCTGATTGTTCGCTCCTACAGTGTTTATAACCTTTTTTTAAAAAGTGACTCATAATCTCTTGTGCTACATAGAATTGTACAATACCATGAATTTTCCAGCCAGGTTGTACATCAGAATCAGCTGAGAAGCTTTAAAAAAAAGCACTGATTGCCTGGATCCACTCCTGACCTATTAGTCTCTAGGAAGATTCTACAAATTTGTATTTTTAACAGCCAGCTCACATTAGTCAGAACATTGGGAGTTAGAAAACCTCGGGTATTTATGTACAGTAAGATTTGGTGAAAATGGCTGGAGGATTTCAGTGTATAGCTAGAACAATTGAAGCTTATACAAAAAGGTTCTTTTAACTTGGTCTAACTTTTTCTGCAACTTTTTAAGCCTTTACTATGTGCTAAGTACTGGGGAGCATTATATAAGATGAATCACAGACATTGATCTCGAGGAGCCCGTGTCCTCCAGTAAGGCAGTAGAATGAGCGTAATAATTGTAATTGAAGGTGGAATCATAATAGGTACATAACAGAGAGAGAAAACAACTTTAGTATTTAAAGACAGTGGTCATTCACACTCTGAGAAGGTAAGAGTAGAGTCCACTTCTGAAAGAATGTGCAAAGACAACCCAGTCCTCTGCAGTGGGCTGTAAGGAAATTGGAGTTTAAAGAAGAAGCCCTGTTATAACCCAGAAGGCAATTGCCAAACTAGTAAGAGGCCTGGAATGGTCAAGAACTAAAATCCAGACTGTCAGTGCTATAAAGCTAGTGATTCTCTATGATTCCGATCAAGATGGCAGGATAGAGTATTGTAGACCAACTGTAATTGAAAAATTAAAAATATATATTTTAAAAACAGGGGTTCTCTTAATAAAGCTCTAGAGTTCTCTTAATAAAGCTCTAGAGTTCTTAAGAGAGCTTTTCAGTTTTAGTATGAATTTTTTTACAGCATTTTAAACATAAAAAAATGTTATCAGCACGGTCTATGTACCACCAGTGTAATTTTGAAAAATAAACCACTGCAGTATTGTGCCAAATGAAATGTATTGGGTAGAGGAAGACAAATATTGCATGATTTCACATACATGTGGAATCTAAAGAACAAAATAACAACAACAAAAGCAGAAAGAAACTCAGAGAAAATTTTGAGGGCTACTAGATGGGAGGAGGGTTGGAGGGATGGCAAAAAAAAGGGCAAAAGGATTAAGAGGTACAAATGAATAGTTACAGAATAGACATGGACATGTAGAGTGTGTCATGAGGAAGATGGTTAATAATGTTGTAATAAATATGTAAGAGGGAAGAGCAGGACTAGATTTAGTGGGGTGATCACTTTGTGAGTTATATAGATCTCTAATCACTATGCTATACAACTGAAATGAATATATTACTGTATGCCAACTATAATTGAAAAAAACTCAATGAATTGTACAATGTAAATACGAGCAATTAATTGTCTGTTATATTTCAATAAAGCCAGAAAAAAAAATAAACTACTGCATACCTAAAGAATTCAAACTCGTTTTTTGTTTGTTTTTTTAAAGTTCTGGAAAGGATATCTAGTCCAAATTAAATCCCTCACGTTGCACGTAAAAGAAGCTAAAATGTGGAGGTTACACATGTCTAGTCCTTGATCACAGAATCAAGGCAAAAACCTGAAGCACCTGACTCATCCATGCATATTACCGTATTCTTGTCAGGTTGAGATCAGTCTCTTTCTCCTGTTGCTTGCTGGTTGTTAAGAGGAATTTCTTGAGGATAGAGACTATTATTGTATTCATCTCTAAATCCTTTGGATGTAGTAATGAATAGACAATAACAATGGACATTTGTTGCATGAAAGGATGGTTAGATATTTTGGCTTTTTTATTAGATCTTGAAGGAGGACAAGGATTTAGCTCTGTGGAAATTCTAGTCAGATGTACACACAAACTGTTAGATTTGTTAAGTATTGTTGAGTAAGGGAAATAGTTTGAGTAAGGAAAAATAATCTAGAAAACTAGGTTGGGTCCACATTATAGGAACACTTGAATGCCAGGCTAAGGATTTTGGAATTTATTCTTCATTCAACTGAGGAGTTTTGAGCAGAGGAGTAACACACACACGCGCGTGCGCGAAGTTTGAAGGAGGGAGAGAAATTAAGTATTTTGACAATTCACTTGAGATGTTATAAAAGCTTGATTAAAGATGCTGGCCGTGAGAATGGAAATGTGGTTACAGATGTAATACAGAAAACGGTTAGAACTTGATAACTGATGAAGTGTGGAGTTCAAGGGATCGAGTACGCACAGATGAGTTCCAGATGTCATCTTAGCCTGTATATTTGGGAGGGTGGTTGTGTGTTAATACACATGTAGTTTTAATGATACATTTGAAGAACTGGTGTCACATCTAGGTGGAAATATTCAGTAGGCTATTGGAAATGTGCTCCTGAACTGCGGAAGAGATTGCAGGTCCAGAAATTAAATCAGGAGTCATCTGAGTAGAAAGGGTGGTCCAAGGCTGAGGATTAAATGAGATTGCCAGTGAGAAAGGTGGAAAGAGACAAAAACCAAGGACACACCCTTAGGGAACTTCCTAGGTTTAGAGGGATGAAGAGCAGCCAGAGAAGGTGGATGGTTCAGAGACAAGAAACCTCAGAACAGTCCAAGGAGAAGGGAGTAGGGGAAATACTTATGGTAGGGAAACATCTGAATTACAGACTCTTTAATAAAAAGTATACACAGTTCATATTATAAGCTAGGTTATGCCAATAGGTAGAAAGGTCGTAAGTTAATGAAAGGCATTATATTTTGCAAGAAATCTACCTTATATCATTATGTATTATAAAGAGAATAGTTGTTTAGCATTGAAAAATATTTTGCTGGACCCAGGGGTTGAAGAAATCTTTAATTTTTTATACTTGACTTTGAGAAGAGAATTGATTTTAATCAGTAGCCTTCTTTTAATTGAAAGCCTTGAAGTTTTAAAAGACATTTTCATTTTTGTTCTGTGGGAGTAATAGCTGCTATAAACGACTAGATAAATTCTGATTAGTGAAGTTTTACCATACTCGAACATCTTCCTTCAACACTTTTTAGTGTATTTCCCCAGAAATATTCTTAAGTATCCTATTAGGGGTAAAAATATCTACATATGTACTATTGGTTTTCCCCTAAGTAACTTTTCGTTTTTATCATTTTCAGGATCTGACTGGCATAGAATCTATGGATCAATGTCGCCATACCTTGGAACAGCATAACTGGAACATAGAGGTATAATAGGATTTATTCTGAGCTTATTTCTTTTTCCCTGGTTTCATAATGATTCAAAGACATGTATTTTTCCAC